GAAAACATATAGTCGCGAAGACTAAAGTACTTATATCTCGCGATCTAATTGGCTGATTTTAACGTTTTAACCGCCATTTTGATCGCAAGATACACCTGTACAACTTTACTTAGAGCTTGAAAAGATGTTTATTTAGTAAAGAAAAAAGTTTTCCTTGGCCAAATTCCAAAAAAAGCAAAATTTATATAGTAAACATATCTCCACTTTTTACTATGTTTTGTCACTGGTTCTTAGGCGGATCACGAATTAAATATATCTTTATTTTTAACTGTTGCTAAGTTGTAAAATACTATATTTATAGAACCACCTGAATAAATGGCTACAAAAGTGATTGGTTAAAAGCAATCTATTAAAAGAACTTTGCTTAAACTTGTATACAAATATATAGAACTAGTTAATTATAATAATTCTAGAGATTCTGATACTTTAATGAAAATATTTAAAGAATAATTTCTGATTATAAAAGAGTACAGAATAGCAAAGAGATAAATAAATTACAAAATATTAAGCATAATCAAGCCTCAGAAAATAGGCAAGTTATAGAAAGTAATCAAGTTATAGAAAATAAGCAAATTATAGAAGATGAGCAAGTTATAGAAGATAAACAAATTATAAAAGATAAACAAGTTATAAAAGATAAAGACTTTTTAAAATATGAGGAGATTATAAGAGATGAGGTTTTTAAAACTATATATCTTAATATTTAAAACCCACTTCAGCATATTAAAAAAGGTTGACTTGCAAAAATAAAAATTAAATTAGCAACTAAAAAAATAAAAAATCAAATTAGCAAATAAAAATTTTTCAATTATAGTTGTAGTATTTATAAAAACAAAAGGTATAATAAGTGAAATTTTTTAAACAAGTAATTAATATAAAAATATTATACTTTTTTATGATTAGCTTTACTGTTATATACATATTTTAATTGAATAATCAGACAATTTTAAGTTATTGATTGTGTAATTTAATTTATTTTATTATTAATTTTATTATATTTTATTAATTATAATTTTAAAATCAATTTAAGATTTATATAATATATAACTTATCTTATAGCAAGATTTTTTTTGCTAGAATTTGATTAGTTAAAAAAAGAAGTTTGCAAACTTTTGGCCTGTGAACATATATACTAAGGTTTATATGATATATAACTCGTTTTCTAACAAGGTTTTTTGCTAAAATTTGATTAGTTAAAAAAGAAGTTTACAGGCTAAAGGGCTATAAATATATTTACTAAGGATTATATAATATATAACTTATCTTTTAGCAAGGTTTTTTTGCTAGAATTTAATTAGTAAAAAAAGAAATTTGTAGGCCAAAGATTTGCAAACATATATACTAAGGTTTATATAATATATAACTCTTCTTCTAGCAAGATTTTTTTGCTAAAATCTGATTAGTTAAAAGAAGTTCATAGACTTT